CTCTACATTAAAATACTTTTATTTGTGAGGTTTCAGTGCTCTTACTGGGGCTTTCATCGGGCAATGATGTATTGAGCGATAAAAATTTAATTTTTATTACTCAGTACATTGTTGCCTGATGAAGGCTCCATTAAGAGCACCAAAAGCTTCCGAGTAAAAGTATTTTAACATTGAGAAAAGTCTATGTATAATTTTACAATGTGAATATTTTCATAAGTTAGACTTTTCTTCAATAGGAAATGAACATTGTTTTTTGCAGTTCACCTCCAAAATTACATGAGTTGTATGTTTTTTATAACAATGGATTATCTGCTTTTTTTAATGTGTAACTTTATGAATGTTTAATTTAGTACACATTATTGGATCACTCTTTCCTGTATATTTTGACTTTGTTATCTCACACTAAACTAGTTACTGAACAAGAAAAATACAAACCTGCTCAGATTCTTGTTTGTTTTTACTAATAATGTTTCATCATAAGCAGATGTCTAAAAAAAAAGACTTTTGTCATCATTTAAATATTTTATAATTCATAACTTTATGGTTTAAACAATAAAATCACAAAGAACTGAGCTTGATGTGCCTCTCAGCTGTGTTGAGTCTCAATTTTTGTCAGGTTTCTTGATAAGCTAAAACTTTAACTTTTACAATGTAGAATTATGTTGAAAACATGAGTTTCAAAATATTTTAAATCCAAATTAAATGTATCGTAGAATTAGCTTAACAGAAAAATGGGTAACTGAGAAAAATTAAAATATGAGATTTAACTATCACTGATGTAATTTTCTGGAACACAACACATAAATTTATCAAATTTGTATTTATTTGTTAAAGTAAGAGTTTGACATATTGAAACCAGATCATGTTTACCAAGTTGAAGTATTGAAACTGGTATTATGTTCAAGTGTCATTTGCAGTAATTGAAAAACTAATTTTTGTTGTTGTTCACATTACTGTATAAACAAGTTTCTGTAAAAATTTCTTATTTCCTGAGCTTGCAGATCAATTTCACAAGCATCAGATTTTTGTTACAGGGTTGGAGTGACAAGAGTGCTTATGCACTGTGCACTTTTGCATTTAGTGAGGGACAGGGTCACGAGGTTAAATTGTTTCATGGAAAAACGGATGGTGTCATTGTTGCTCCTAGAGGCCCAAGAACCTTTGGCTGGGACCCATGCTTTCAGCCTCTTGGTCACATTCAGACTTATGCAGAAATGACAAGTGAGCTAAAGAACAGCTTGTCACACAGGTACAAAGCTCTTGCAGCTTTAAGAGACTACTTTTGTTCAGAAAACAAATATGGAAATAGCTAATAAAAATAGTTACAATAATTACCTGTGTAAAAAATATTTATGCATCAGCAAGATCTTGAAAATGCGTACTTGTGAACAATGATTACACTTTCTGGTGGTTGGATAGCTTAGAAAAGGTTCAATAAAGAGAATTCCAAATATACAAAACTATTCTATTAACTCTTTACACAGGCTCAGTCCCTGGGACTGACCTCATAACCATTTTGTGCTTGTTATAGTTTTATGCTATACCTTTTAAATTAGTAAGGGTATGTTAACAAAAGTTGGCAAATTATAGTAACATTACAATGTTTTCATATGCAAAATATAATTTTTCTTTATTAAGTCTTAAGGTTCGTAAAGCAGTGTTTTTCTCATGCCTTTTCGCATGTTGCCTATTCAACATGCAAAGTAATTTTCATTTTAAGATTAAAAATACTTTTATGCATCAGAAAATTTTCAACTTTCACATGCAAAATCTTTATAATTTCCAGATAGTTATCAAACATTTCTTAAGAAAAAACTTTATATTTTATTTGTTATTTTCACTAACAAATCTCCACGGGTTTGGTAGATTTGACCGATCTTGTAACCACCATAAAAAATTAGAAAATAAGTATAAATTATGCCTCTTTTGTTCTAGAATGACAACAGATTATAACACTAAAACATAAATGTTTAGACTAAATAGCTTAAATCTCATAGCATTATGTATTTATAGATCTTTATAATTTTTATTATATTAACCTTTCAGTTGTGTCTGGCTAACAAAAATGAAGTTATAATGACACAGCACATGTGCTTTCATGTTACTGTATCCAATAATATAAACTGACCTTTAGTCTTTACAAAGTGACCTGTCTTGTCTGTGTAGACTAGTATTTTGTAAAATTCAGTCACCTTTCCATTATTATACATTATATATGTATATAGATTATTGCTATTTAGAAACAAGTTCTTAAACTTATTTTTCTTAAAACATAAACAGTAAATGAAGAAGTAATGCAAACAATTATCTCTTCTAGTTATGACCTTTATACTTGGTTGCTGCTTGATGTAGGTTGGTAAGCCTTTTAAAATTTTGCACATGGAGGATATGAAATGAAATCTTTTTTTTAGGTTTTATATGTACAGTTGAATAACCAAAAAAAATCATAAATTCTATATTGATATCTTAGAATTCCACTATAATTTATCAAGCTTAGTAACTAAGCTGTATTTGGGTTTAAAAAATATGACATTTTGAGCAGACTAAAGACATAACCTACCTCCTTGAAATCTTGGTTCGAAAGAACAAGATGCCATCCTAACACATAAAAATGGCTGAGGGGAACATTCTGAGCTTTTGATTGATTATTCACATGTCATATATGTATATAAGATATAAGAGACCGTTTCCAAAAATGAAAAGAGGTGAGTGGGCCACTGTTTTTAATTCAGTACATGAGTGATATCTCAGCAAATAGAAAAGATATGAGGTTGTTATTTTATATTCTAGCTTGTCAATATCGGTAATTTGAGTTCCTAATTCTTATGAAACTATAGATTTAGTATTTTGAAACCACAAACATCTAATTTAAACCAGTGCTGCATTCAACATACCACGTCACACACAAAAATCAATGTTTAACTGTATTTTTAATATTTACTTTTAAATTAAGAAATTAGATAATCTATAATATTAAAATTTAAATTATAGTCTACAGTTT